ATCTTTGTGGAAATCGTCCAACATTCGCTGCCGTAAAGAAGGACAGATGTCACGTAACTGATCAGTATTCTTTTCTTCATTCCCTAAGAAATCCTCCATTCTCACAATACTCTGCTTAGCTTTTGGAATGCGTCCTTGGCCATCCCAATACGTCTACGAATCTCAGTGGCGCATTTGCTGTTCTCTGTCAGAAAGCTTTCCAGATATTCACTATAACCATTTTAACAGTAACTATCAAACTTGAGTGACACTTGTAACTTTTATTGATTAAATTTGATTATTTTAAAACAGGTTTTCGTATTGCTTATGAGAACTAAATTTCAGCAAGTTATGGTTTAATTCTGCATTCAGTTAACAAGTAAAATTTAAAACGGAAAACTATCTCCCAGCTTAGCCGTCCCATGAATTTTACGTTTAGATTTAAAAATCCTTAGCCGTCCCATCATTTTATGTTTAGATTTAAACATTTCTATGGCTTCCTTGGCGCACGCAATTAAAAGTCATCAGGCTAGAATTAGTTTGATTTTGTATTGTGTTATAGGCGAAACTTATTGGCAGTCAACGTGGAATTGGTGGATTGGGTTCAAGTTCCAGTCTAGTCTCTTGCGCCCACTTCCTGGAAATGCCAACGAGAAAAGAATGAATTCATTGCACCCCCCCCCATGAGATATACGTTAAATAGCTACCTACACTTGGTTATCTTGACCGGTAGCTAGTATTGGGGAAAGACAATCTTTCTTCCGATGTATCGTGTCCTTTCAGGACGTAGGCGATCATGGCTCTCCACCTCCTCCTATCCATTGCAGCTCTCAACAAGTTCCTTCCCTCTGCTATCTCCAACAAACCACATTCTATCATCCACCTTCCCGAGTCGGCCATCAGTCTCATCTTTTTTCTTTCTTTTTATATGCCATGTCCTTTCAGGACGTAGGCGGTCATGGCTCTCCACCTCCTTCTATCCCTTGCAGCTCTCAACAAGTTCCTTCCCTCTGCTATCTCCCACAAACCACATTTTATCATCCACCTTCACGAGTCGGCCATCAGTCTCATCTTTTTTCGTTCTTTTTATGTGCCATGTCCTTTCAGGACGTAGGCGATCATGGCTCTCCACCTCCTCCTATCCATTGCAGCTCTCAACAAGTTCCTTCCCGCTGCTATCTCCCACAAACCACATTCTATCATCCACCTTCCTGAGTCGGCCATCAGTCTCATCTTTTTTTTTCTTTTTTATGTGCCATGTCCTTTCAGGACGTAGGCGATCATGGCTCTCCACCTCCTTCTATCCCTTGCAGCTCTCAACAAGTTCCTTCCCTCTGCTATCTCCCACAGACCACTTTCTATCATCCATCTTCCCGAGTCGGCCATCAGTCTCATCTTTTTTCTTTCTTTTTATGTGCCATGTCCTTTCAGGATGTAGGCGATCATGGCTCTCCAACTCCTTCTATCCCTTGCAGCTCTCAACAAGTTCCTTCCCTTTGCTATCTCCCACAAACCACATTCTATCATCCACCTTCCCGAGTCGGCCATCAGTCTCATCTTTTTTCTTTCTTTTTATGTGTCATGTCCTTTCAGGACGTAGGCGATCATGGCTCTTCACCTCCTTCTATCCCTTGCAGCTCTCAACAAGTTCCTTCCCTCTGCTATCTCCCACAAACCACATTCTATCATCCACCTTCCCGAGTCGGCCATCAGTCTCATCTTTTTTCTTTCTTTTTATGTGCCATGTCCTTTCAGGACGTAGGCGATCATGGCTCTCCACCTCCTTCTATCCCTTGCAGCTCTCGACATGTTCCTTCCCTCTGCTATCTCCCACAAACCACATTCTATCATCCACCTTCCAGAGTCGGCCATCAGTCTCATGTTTTTTCTTTCTTTTTATGTGTCATGTCCTTTCAGGTCGTAGGCGATCATGGCTCTCCACCTCCTTCTATCCCTTGCAGCTCTCAACAAGTTCCTTCCCTCTGCTATCTCCCACAGACCACTTTCTATCATCCATCTTCCCGAGTCGGCCATCAGTCTCATCTTTTTTCTTTCTTTTTATGTTGGACAAAGGACGTAGGCGATCATGGCTCTTCACCTCCTTCTATCCCTTGCAGCTCTCAAGTTCCTTCACTCTGATACCTCCCCCAGACCACGTTCTGTCATCCACTTGCTTAAGGCCTTTCGGTATGTCATGCGATATTTTCCCTTGTCTCTCTTTCCCTCTATTCGACCCGTGAGTATCAGATTCTCCAGGCCTTACTTCCACATTTGTCCCAGGAAATTCAGCCGCCTCTTTCTGATATTATTACTGAATTCAAAACCGTGGCGAAGGCGACTTGAAACCACTCCAATACCTTCCCCAATAAGTCAGTGTAATTCGCTGATAACAAGGAAAAAGAAGCATCGACGAGCCATAATTACTGACGTCAAGAGTCTTTTAAAAAGAAGTGCAATGTTTCGCAGTTTCTGATAATCTAAAGTTCAGTATATTAAATCGTTGGATATATAGGTAGCGTAACGTTTGTCGACAGAAGTATCCATCTTGTTCCTATCTAAATTGCTCCTACAACTGATTTGAACATTCTTCAGTGTATTGTCATAATTCATATAAAGAAAGAAATGCAATATCTATATTCTAAACAGTTAAAAATTAATGAAAGACTGGCATAAATACATGTTGTAGAGTAGCTAGCACCCCTTCCGTACTCTACCATATGGCTTGGCTCATAGCTTTAAATAGTCTACGATTAATGACTTCAACAGTTGATTAATAATTTGATTAACCAGTTAATAAGTTGATACTAAGCTGATTAATATTCAGACTGATCTTCGTTGGCTATACAACATTTGACCCTCTTCTCTTCGTAGTAAGTTGCCTTGTTTATTGTTTTGTAACTTATTTTTATGTGTTTTTTATATCTATCCGTTAGCACTGGATACTTGTGCTGAATAAATATATTACGCGCTCATTTTTCTCTCTGTATCATTCAACTTGACGATACAATACCCAATGTTAGTTATTTATTTTATCCGGTCGCACCAGCTCGGAGAGTCCTGAGTCTCTCGGGCCAACTACCATTGTCCTGCGTAAAGAACATTAGACTGGCATCCTCTGTCATGACATATTTAATCAATGTAGGTGATTGCTGGGTGACCGACAGGTCTTGCGCCATGGCTTGGTGTCCAGAGCAGGTAGATTACTCGCAAGTTCTTGCTTTACCCGTCAATAGTGCCCCGTAAGGCGCATTCTGCTTTCACATAAGATTGTTGAAATGTCAGGGATGGGTTCATACAGCTGCGAATTATTTGGATGTTATCTTCAACATATCTCTATCTATAAAAAGCAGGATGTGTGTTTGTGTGTGTAACGAATGCACGGCCGCAATTTTTGACGGAATTTGCACCAAAATTTACATGCACATGCTCCAAGTTAGCGGGATGGCCAAGACTGACTTTGCATTTCCCAATTCCCATCGATAGTGGAAATAATCGATCTTTTCATGCTTCTACGGCAGTTTTCATGTAGTTTGCGGCCATTTTGTACTGGCCAGAGTGAGAGCCTATAGCTGGCTGCCACAAATAGGCAGGAAGATTCTATTGGCTAGCATGAGAGCCAACAGCTGACTGACACGAATGTTAACTAGCATGCTAGCATGCAAAAAAATCGTTAGCTGCATTCGTCACAAGTGGGAAAAATTTAAATCTGCATGGCACTTTACTCCAATTGGCTCATTCGCTTGCTTAAAATCAACGTTGATTCTGATTCCGCAGAACTGGGTTGGGTGTGAAAAAGTATTTGTTGTTAACATTCTTTTTTCATTCGTTTTTTTCCAGTTACGAGTCCTTTTTTAAAGCTGATCATTTTGTGTTCATTTTGTTTAGTTCTTTTTTCGTAACAGATTTAATGTTTAGTATAGAGCTTAGAAAAAAAATTCGTAGTGTGAGATAGGCAAGAAGTAAGGCATGTAGCAACATCAGCACGGCAAGGACACTCCTTTAAAGGCAAGGAATATTTTAAGTCAAGTGATAGCGATTGCTGTATGAGTCGTACGATTTTTTCAAGCACGGGCAACGCCGGGCCATGCTGCTAGTGTTAAATATAACTCCCAACATCCGAGTGTAGTTTCCATCAAGCTTAGACTCAAGAGTTTTATTCAATGCCTGAACAGTGGCATCATGAATTAAAACCGCATCTACAGTGGCGCAAAAGAAGTTCTGTTTGAGGTTATCTAGTCGAAGAGATTTCCAGATTACATCTATTTCATTCGAGCCAGCACAGGCTTTAGCTGTGTGAATTTTCACATCATTTTCAGTAGAATTTATTTCGCTTCCTAGATATGTAAAAGATTTGACAATTTTTATTGATTCCTCTAAGACAGTTTGTATTGAGCCTTGGTGATTGATGTTTATGAATTCAGTTTTAAAGGCATTGACACAGAATCCAACACTGTTAGCATCATTTTGTAGATTATGTAGGAGAGATGTGGCATCGCTAATGATGTCTGCAGTGATAACTAGATCACCTGCAGAGATAATATCGGTGTTAAGTAGTATTGAAGTATTTAAATAAGTACTCTACCGAGATAATAAAAAAAGATCTTAATGCCTCTATTAACATGGTCGTAAAATCTGATGTATGCCGCCTTTTTTTGAGGATGCCTTTCAAGTGTAAGAAATCAGAATATATCTCCCTCAGCAAGGAGAACACCACAAGGTGTGAGCTATGAAAATGGAGATGTCAAAATAAAGCAAGCATAGGATTTTAAATATGTAGGAAATATTTTAACTGGCGGCAGCAAATGTGACACTGAAATATGAAGGCCTATTGGAATAGGGAAAGATGCATTCTAAAAACTAAGCAAAGTATTACGAAACAGGAAATGTTCGTTAGAAACAAGGGGAAGGGGTTTGAACTGTTATGTAATATCAATCCTTCACTATGCTAGACATTGACAATCATAGGTGAAAAGGATACACTTTATGTGTACAACTCGTAAACGTCCCACTTTCTTTCTTTTATGCATCATTATTTCTTTCTTTTTTCTTTTATAGATCATTATTTCTTTATTTTACGTATCGTTCTTATTTTTTCTCTATCATTTATGTATCATTCTTTATTTCTTTTATGAAAAATTCTTCCTTTCTTCATTCCTTTTATGTAACATTCATTCATTCTTTCTTTATGTATTTTGTGTCTCATTCTTTCTTTCTTATTTTCTTTCTTACTTTCTTTATTTCTTTCTTTTTTTGCGTTGTTTTTCTTCTCTTCCCCTTTCGTTAAATTTTTAGGTTACTTAAGAAATCTGTTTTTGGGGAAATCCTTCCTTCCTTCCTCCCTTTCTTTCTTTCTTTCTTTCTTTCTTTCTTTTCTGTATCATTCTTTTTCTTACTTATTTTTTGTCTATCTTTTTTCTTTCTTTTCCTCTGTCCTTATTTCTTACATTGTTTTCCTTCTTTTCTTTTTCATAAGTTGTTTAAACTATTTACGAAATCTGTTCTTGGGAATTCATTTTTTTCATTTTTTTCGTTCTTACTTTCTATCCTGTATCATTCGTTTTACTTACTTTTGTTCCTGTGTTTTGCATTATTTTTCTTCTTCTCCCCCTTTATTAATCTTTTAGACTATTTAAGAAATTTCTTGGGAAATGATTTCTTACCATTACCATTCTTTCTTTCTTTCTTTTTTTTACTATTCTTTCTTTCATTTGTCATTCCTTCTTTCTTTCCTTTACCATTCTTTTTTCTTCTTTTACCATGCTGTCTTTTTTTACCTTTAACATTGTTTCTTTTACCATTCTTTCTTTCTTTCCTTCCTTTCTTTATTCCTTCTTCCTTCCTTCCTTCTTTCTTTCTTTCTTTCTTTTTTTTTTACTATTCTTTCTTTCATTTGTCATTCCTTCTTTCTTTCCTTTACCATTCTTTTTTCTTCTTTTACCATGCTGTTTTTTTTTACCTTTAACATTCTTTCTTTTACCATGCTTTCCTTCCTTCCTTCCTTTCTTTCTTTCTTTCTTTCTTTCTTTCTTTCTTTCTTTCTTTCCTCCCTTTCTTTCTTTCTTTCTTTTTAATACATATATGCATACATATATAACTCTGCTGGCGATAGTCACCATGCTTGCCGTCACATTATATTCAAAAATTCAATTTCGTCATAAAATAGCGAAAGTCGAGTTTTAATTTCGTCTTATTTATATTCTTCTGATTATTTTTCCTCCAGCCTTCTGTATTTGATGATTAACCGGTTTAATTTTCGAAAGAATCCAAATCATTGTTTTTCTCGTTGAATACATTTCCGAATTGACGCAATTTCAATGAGTGAAAGAAGTTGCTGGAAAACATCGACCGTACAGTGTTAGGTATTCTGCTACAACCTTACTCACACACATACAAGCTGGGCCTACGTTGCTAATGGCACCCATAGCGCATTCGTATCCAAGAAGAAAATCCCTATTCAATCTGTAAAATCAGACTTTTCGACTGCGATAAATATTCAGTTAATGTCTGGGAAATTCTGTGATTATTGTTCTCATCTTTGGTTAATGAAATCACTTTCTGATTAAGGTCATCTTGACTGTCGCGCACGTAAAAACAGGGAATTTGACAAAAAATATTTTTTCTAGATTCACCTTCTTTAAAATTTTCTCTGTCCACCACATTTGTCCGAATTGAAGAAATAACGATTTTTTTCTATTATTTTAAAAGGTGTCTTTTCATAATATAAATACAGTATCAAATATATCCCTGACTTTTAAAGAGGTACTGTATTTTGTTTTTATTTACAAATGTCATGTTTGAAAATGTAATAATGTCATAAATAACGGACAGAGAATGGCCACTATTATAATTTAGTGACTTACTATAAAATACAAGTAATACATTTTCTGGCTGGGGACATTTCTCTACATTTGTCAGAATCTAAACATATTGATTTCTTTTTCATTTTAGAAGTGGGTACGGTTTATAATATAAATACAGAGTCAAATTGATCCCTGATTTCTTAAAGAGCTATATCACAATAAACATTTAGCATTTAATTTCAAAGAATTTTGGGCACTAATTAAATTGAGTGGTCCATTGACGAAAAATAGGGAAGAAATTTTGTGGTAATAATTGTTGTAGGTTACCATTCATTAACTCTTTCTCTACCCACTACAATTTTAAGAATCATATATTAATTTTCTATCATTTTAGATGGAGGGTCCTGTTTATAATATAATTATAGTGTCAAATCGATCCCGGATTTTTTATCCATATCTTACTTTTTTTTAAATAAGTGTCAAGCTTGAAACTGTATGCTGTTCATAACTGCGTATTACTGATGTTGACTTTTTTCTTCATTTCGTCACTGTACGCAGTAATTAATGACTTAAGCACAGTTTCAAGTATGGCATTTATAAATAAAAACAAAGGGCAGATAACTCTTTAAGGGGTCAGCGATCGATTTCAGAGTGGATTTATATTATAAACTAGAATTGTTCCTTTACGAGAGAAGTGTGTGACTAAAATTTATTTAAATTCTATTTATTTATACCATGTGTAAGGATACAGAAAGCGATTATCGCCCTATAGTGAAAATAAGTCACATGGGTCACATGACGCCGCTTAGTGACCTCCCTTCATATTGTGACGAGAGTGGCCAGTCATTCAGTCGGTTTACAGAAGCCAAAACAAGATGTTGCTTTTTTAGCCCGGGCTCCTCTACAGCCCGGGTTGTGGCTAAATCTGCTTTCCACAGCTTCCCTAGATATAGAAATCTCCGACTTGCATTTCTCAATTTGGAAAAATCCTAAACTCGCTGTTTCCGATTGGTAGAACATGTTCTGGCCTCGAATATAGTAGATGAATTCTGCCTACTTGAATCGTAAACATAGCTTCTCCAGAAACACAGAAGTATCCCCATATTATACATTCTAGAGATATTTTCGTTCTCCTTAATTTCTGCTTACATTTTCCTTTGCGTGTTACACGCGTATATATATATATATATATATATATATATATGTGTGTGTGTGTGTGTGTGTGTGTGTGTGTGTGATACAAACAGACTGTTTCGTTGTATCACAGCTCATCAGTGTGGCTAGACATCCGATTGCCCCAAGCCAGGAAACCCAACCGACCTGTCTTCAGTCGGAGATTTTCCCCTGAACTATCAGCTGCCGGTAGGGAGGAGGGTGAATTTTTACGTATTTATTTTAGAATATACACGCCAGTGATTAAGAGTGCTCAATTCATAGAAGAACTATATATATAGTTTTGTGTATATCTTAGGCGCATGAAAGTTTCTCGGAGAAGAAAGCATGTCTGTCATTCGTTTTTCATTCAGCTATTCTGTTTTGTCCGTAAAATACGATGTTATTTTATCACGGGTAAAATGATAATGACCATAATGGAGAGAAATGTATAGATAAGAATAAACATTTCTACCATAGTTCTTTCCTGTTTTATCGTGTACATGGGGAAAAATCTATAGACGTTCACTTTTTTTTTAAGCATTTCATCCCTAGCAAGGTGGGAAGCCACTAGTACGCAAGGGGTCACAGAGAATTTGGAGCGAGAGCAGATAGTAATGATAGAGGAGAGGATGAGGAGAAGGATAGTGGATAAATCAAGGCAACTGGAGATGTCGATTGACATTACATTTGAATAGTTGGAGATTAAAGATATCAGGTAAACAGGAGTAGGGAAAATTCAAGAAAAATAAGAAAGTTATAGCTAAAATTGAGAAAATAGGGTCAAATAGACCTTGTCTGGACAGGGAATGGGTAGTATCATACTTAAATAGGCCACTTATCAAAACAGGTAATTATTTTTTGGGGGGTGGAGCTTCCTTACCTGCTCAGTTGTCAGAGTAAAAAAAAAATTGATTTTTATCATTTTAGAAGGGGTCGTGTTCATAATATACAACCAGCATCAAATCGATATCTGACTTCTTAAATCGTTATCTGTATTTTGCTTTAATTTACGAATGTTAGGTTTGATATTACTTACATCATTAATAAATGAGTACTACTTGTGTGCTGTTTTTTTTTAGGAATCTGTAATAGTACTCAGTAATCAATAACAGAAGCACAGTTCCAACCTGGACATTTGTAAATGAAAACAATGTTCGCATATTGTCTTTAAGAAGTCAGGGATTAACACATCATTGTAAAAAATAAAATAATAAAAAGAACAGCTTCGCAATTCCTTGTTAGTGTCATTATAACAATTTTACAGACTATTTTCCATATTCATAACAAAGAACTATGACAACCATTCAAATTAAAATCAGACGTTACAAAAAATCGTGATGACGAACAATACACACGCTCTCAATGAAACGATATTTATCCTTAATCTTTACAAAGTAAACTATCAACCCGTTTTTATTTCGAATTTTTTAATCTCATTAATCTTATTAATGTCTTCTTTTATGTGCCATGTCGACTCAGGTTGTGTAGGATCATAGCTCTCCATGATTTCTAATCTTTTGTAACTCTAAGCAATGTTGGTCCCATTCCTATCTCTCCAAGTCTTTTTTCTGTTAACCCAAACTCATTAGAAAACTACTGACATTATTTACATCAACCGGAATGTGGTCTTCATCTTTATTGCCATATTCACGACGTTTTGGCCGTTGAATGCTCCGACCTTCTTCAGGAGATATACATGAGGATTTTGAATCCAAACCTAGATTCTCGTTCCACATTCCATGCCATTTATTTATTCTCTCAATATCAGTCAATTCACTTAAATAATTAAAATTTCCAAGTAGTTTCTTCACCACAGATGTGAACTCACACCTCTATGGGCCAAGTGACTTTTTGGATTAATTTTATCCACTGGGTCTTGTATTTTCCTCTTGTCTTCATTTTGTCATTGTCAGATTCTCCAAGTCCACTTTATTAAATATGTAAGCCAGAAATGTCGACTGATCTTCTCTGATTTTAAGTAGAAGTGCGTTATTTGTTTGCACATTGTAAAACATCCTAATTACACGTATATCCTGTCCATAGAATTGTCAGCAAGATTCTGTAGAATGAAATTTCTGTTGCCTCACGTATCGTCTTCACCATTAAGGAAATAGCCAAACATTCATTGACATATAGGAGGATTGATATCATCCAGCAATTCAGCAGTCTTTTTGTCGTTCCGAGAGTTCCTCTTTCTTAAAACTGTGTTTAAAATTTTGAAGGCATATTTTGCTGTTTCAGAATTTCAGTACACCTTCGGATTTCGGTGTCACAACTTCCATCCTATGTTTTCCAACTTTGTTTGTTTTCTTCTTTCTTTTTCTACGCTTTTTCGTATTCTTTTTTTTTTTCTTTTATCACAAACATAGATTTACCCTTATCCTTCTTTCTTTCATTTTCTTTCTTTCTGTCTTTCTTTCCGCTTTTTTCGGATTCATCTTTTTCTTTTATCACAAGCCTAGATTTACCCTTTTCTTTCTTTCTTTCTTTCTTACTTTCTTTTCGCCTGTCCTTGCTGTTGGCTACGTTTTTCCTCATTTCTTCTTTTATGTTTGTTTTATGTTATTCATTTATTTGTCCTTGGAAATTAATTTCTTTCTTTCTTTTTTTTCTTTCTTTTTTCTTTCTTTTCCAATTAACAGATTTAAAAGCCTAATCTCCCAAAGTGTATCGACCGCACACCTTAGCCAAGTACCCACACACCATATATCCCTCCTATTATGCTACAAATCACGTTTACCCCCCCCCCCACCGCCGTTGTTCTTACGACCATTTCATACTACTAAGCACAGTTTCGATCTCCGTCATTTATATTCCCATAGTCTTGGAGACGACAATTAAACTCTTCCTCCATTGTTTGCATTCAGCGAACAAGACGTTATCCAATTGATTGTCATAACAGCTTCAGGCGGATGTCTGAGCAAACAGCATCACTACTTTGTTAAACTATTTCTTATGATCCTCACATCCCGGATAATGGATGGCCTCGCCGTCTCAGATAATGGATGCTTCCCACGTAACAGATAATGGATGGTCCCCTCGTCCCAGTAAATGGATACTCTGCACGTCTCAGATAATGCATGGAAACCACGTCCAAGATAATTGATGCGTCCCCCGTCCAAGTTAATGAATGTCCCCCACGTCCCAGATTATGGATCTACACCACTTCCAAAATAATGTTCCACATGCCACATAAAATAGATAATAGATGCTCCCCACGTCTCAGATAATAGATGACCCACACATATTAATTTGGATGGTTCCCACGTTCAAGATAATGGATGCTCTGCATATTCCAGATAAGGAATGGACCCATGTTCCAGATAATGGATGGTGCTCATGTCTCAACTAAAGGATGCTGCCTATATTAAGGGTGCCAATTACTATGTTATGACAGTTGCTCTATTTATACAAGAATTCTTCTATTTTAAAATGTTAAAAAAAAAGTACTTTATTGATTTAATGCAGGTCACAATTACTGTCACGGTTGTGATGATCTCTCTGGCCGACTGGATCGGACAGATCAGAATGTGGTTTTTCCTACAAACGGAGCTCAGGTTCGAAACTAACCGGAGCGTATATTTTCTTTATTAAGTCTATCTCAGGCCGGTAAAAGTTTCATAATTCTTAAAACAAGGCAAAAAAAAAAGACAGAAAAAACAGGTCGTCTACTAAATCTTGGGCAAACAAAAATAACGTTTTGATCTGTAAGAAATAATACCAGATAAAAATCCATTGGTTTCTTATAAGTTAGATGCATTTTGTGAAGCTCGAAATTATCAAGATACTAGAAAAAGTGTAGTTGGTCGGCGAGAGATCAGGGCTATATGGTGGATTTGGCAAAGTCTCGTATCCGAAGTCGGTGAGATTTTGTAGTGACATCCTGGCAAAGTGTGGCTGAGCATTATCATAGAAGCAAAATTGAACCTAGCTGATTAACCTAGTTTTGTGGTCTAATATATTATTATAATGGGGATGGGACATTACGGCGTAACCCTTTTGGCGTGGCCGATTCGGTGTGGCCGATTCAGCGTAGCCGTTTCTGCATAGGAAAGACGACAATTAAGCGTCAAATTACAACTTCATCGTTATAGTCAAATTTGCTCTCTCTCTCTCTCTCTCTCTCTCTTGTTTAGTAGTCAAATTAGTACTCCATCCAATTGAAGAAAAAGGATAGTTGGAGGCATTTTTATACTTAAGAAAGGGAGTATTTGGAGGCATTTTTATACTTAAGAAAGGGAGTAGTTGGAGGCATTTTTATACTAAAGAAAGGGAGTATTTGCAGGCATTTTTATACTTAAGAAAGGGAGTATTTGGAGGCATTTTTATACTTAAGAAAGGGAGTATTTGGAGGTATTTTTTATATTGTTTCCTTCACTGAAGCTTCATATTTTTCAGGCGTCAAAGCACTTTCATTTCAAAATGGAAGCAAATATTTTATCAAATTCCATTAGTGTTTTTATTGGATCCTTAATTCCCTAAATGAATAAAAAGTTATATTGAAAGTTGGGTGTTTTTCAGGCTTTTTTTCTTTTTTTTTTTTTGGTGGTGGAGATGCCTCCAGTAAAAAAGCAGGGACGTCGAGGAAGTCTGACGCCTAAACGGCTGTGCCGAACGGTCCAATTATTTTTCCAACACCGAATCAGCCACGCCGAATCAGCCACGCCGAATCATCGAGGCCAATGGGTTACGCCGAAACGTACCAAACCCTATTGCGCAAAATATATTACTCATTCTTAACGCATTAAAGTGTTCTCTTTATTTATTCTCTATCAATCTCTTTTCAAGATTGAATGTTATATAGCACACACATTAAGCAGAAAAATAATAAAGGGTGTATTTACTTTTTTGGATGAATTCAAGAATTCATTGCCATATAAGAGGATTGATATTACTGAATAGTTCAGCAGTGTTTTCTTTGTTCCTAAAATCCCACTTTCTCAATAGGTTGTTTAAAATTTGGAATTTCCTCAGTGAGAAAGGCGATACTTGAGGCAACAGAGATGTCATTCTACAGAAGGCTCCTGATAATACGATGGGCTGGATATGTGAGTAATTAGGAACTTGTTTTAAGTAGTGTGAAACGTATACCAGACTGTAATATTTTATTTTTCTGAATGTGCCTATCGGCAGTGATGTTATGGTTCGATTCCAGAAACCTGTAATGGATAACCCCACGAGCGAACCCCCAGACAGTCATCGTAATAGTCTAATGGTGAAATTTTGGTTTCGGAAAGTGTTTGAGTGTTTTGCCATAAAGGATCTGTTTCACAAATCCCTATTCGATCAAGAAATGGATCACTCGATTTTCGCAGTCATCGTAACATTCTTTTGATGAAATTTCGGTTTTGGAAAGTCTTTGAGTGTTTTGCCATAAAGGATGCATTTCAGAAATCCCTATTCGTTCAAGAAATGGATCACTCGAATTTTGCATTCATCGTAATATTCTTAAGGTGAAATTTTGTTTTCGGAAAATCTTTGAGCGTTTTGCCATAAAGGATCCATTTCACAAATCCCTATTCAATCAATAAATGGGATTTCTCAGATGCAACATCGATAACACTTCAACACGATGGATGTCCTCTACCAATTTTAACTTCAAGACTCGGATTTCCACTGTGGTATTTAAGAAACCAGTTCCCTACTCTCCGGACGTAAGTGGATCCTTTAATCCACGCACTGTTAATATTGGCAGCAGGTTAAAAGCATTATAACCAACCTTAAACTCATGCAAAAAAGTAAATGCACCATTTACTTTTTCATGTTCAATGTATAGGCTGTATAACATTCAATTCTGAAATAGATTGATATAGAATTAGGAAACACATCACTTTAATTCCTTAGGAATGTGTAATATATTTCTGCGTAACTATTATAAAAATATATTAGAACACAAAATATTTATTCTAAAATCAGACATTATTTTCCGATTAAAAAAAATTTAAGAAATTTGGTCTCGAGGTTATCTTAAGCTTGGCTGCTTCATATCTGGTATAAAACTAGGTATAGTATAGTTAGGCATATCTTATGTTTTTAAGATTGGGGTCCCAAACAAGAAATCCCAACATGACATCTAATTCTCTCAGAATTGCCTCGTTGTATAGGTTGAACAAGTCTGGTGAGAAGACACATTCTTGCCTTACTCCCTTTTCTATTTTTGTGTATCTGCTGAACTCGTTTTCTTTCCATTTGCAGACGGTTTGTTGCCAGTGTAGATTCTTGATTATTCTAATATTCTTCCCAAATATATCAAGGTTGCTGAGCATCTCTAACAGAACAGTGTGGCGTAGATTATCGAAGGCCTAATGCCGATGACACAATGTTGATAGCAGACACGGAAACGGAACTACAAAAGCTGCTACAGAAGATAATGAAGGTAAGCGAGAAGAAGGGACTAAGTAAAGGGTGTTTCATTAAGACGGATCAAAGTCAGCAATAAATAAATTAGTGTTAATGGTGAATATTTATTTATTTCTCTACTGGATCGTGTTTTTTAAGTCATGACAATTGTGTGTGAAAAATAATATCGCCCAAATCTCCGCCAAATCTGAAAGAAAAAGAAAAAACAACTCTTAGAAGCTTAAAATTAATTCACATTTAAAATCGGTCCATGTTATTGGAACACACTTTATAAACGACAAGAAGGCAGAATTCATGGTTGTCATGAAAAGGATGAGTCTAAAATTCAAATTTCAAATCAGGGATAGTAAAATCAAATAATTACAACAATTTAAATATCAGGGAAGATTGTTCTAGTTCCACGTGCCATGCCATTTCCGTATATCTCATTTTCATTTATTTCTCTTTAGTAACTCAGCTTTCCAAGTTTTTGTTCGCCTCTGCTGTTGCCAGGTATTGAACTCATAACTCTTTGAGTCAAGTCACTGGATTACTTCAGTTAGCTTTTATTCACTGAGACATGTTTCCTTGGGAAAAGCATGGCACGTAGAACTAGAACAATCAACCCTGGTGGACGAAATAAAGTGGTTCGAAATTTCAGCGTATGTCACCTGAATAAGGCCGGAGCTTACAACGGCCGAAACGTCGTGAATATGACAATAAAGATGAAGACAATAGTCCGAATAATATAAATAGAAGAATAGTTAAGCAGAGATATAAGTATAGTACAGGTTAGGTTAGAATATCTATACTCGTTTTCCCACGTAGCTATGATAGATGCTATTGCGTCGACAGATGGATCTATGGAATGATCTAACGATGATGCGATCTACAAAAAGAAAATGTTTCTGCATTTGCTTCGATTTTATTCCGATTACGTGTTTTATATATCATTGGCTTAATTCCCGCATGTCTATTGATTTGGGTCAAAATGATCAGTGATTATTGAATGACCACTGTTCATTTGTATGTGCTCTCCACAGATCACAATTTAAGTATAAATTACATTTTTGAAGATCAAATTTGAACAATTTTGTATTGTCTAGAACACTATATGTTATGGTCGGGTTCCTTGTACCACGGTGATAGTCCAAGGTAGAACCAATAAAGAAGAACTCGAACACGGATATGGAATAACACAGATATATTACAAACAGGAATATATACAGAGAAGTAGAAAAGTGTTAGTACGAACAATCAGGTTTAGTAGTAATTGTCTGAACGCGACTCTGTTTCGGACTGCCTCTGACTCGACTGACAGACTCATGACGGACTTCACTCCAGACTTCAGACTGAACCCTAGACTTCAGACGGAACTCTCTGCTTCCCCTTGAGGCGCAGTATTTATTACGTATGGAATAGTCCATTATGTTATTATAGGTAAGGTCCCATAACACTTTGTTTAATTTTACTCAAGATCAGAATTAACTGAAGAAGATTAC